CATTCTTGCTCTCTGTGTGGATCACCATTGGAGGCTGGACAATTGGACAGCTTAGATTGCAGATCGTGATCATTGGAGTTCAAGAAAAAGCAAAAGAGTTGGTGAAATTCATCAAAGGTATCATTCTCATCACAATTTCTATCTAAACACATTGCAGATCCTCGTTTGGGAATTGAAAATTGTTTTAATTCTGCTGTGCATGATTAAGTAAATTCCCAACAGAGACTTCTCCAAGCAAGGCAGAGGATAATGTTAGTATGCTCTTTAATGCTCAAGTTAATAAAGGGACAATGAATTTACTATGGGAAAACATGAAAGGAGAAGAAATGAGGAAGTCAAATTTATATTTTAGATTTTGACTAACAATTTGCAATTACCTTCAAATGATATCAATTGCAAGTATTTAGATGCCAATAGATGAAACTGAAGTTTTCCAAATGCTTGACATGTTGTATTATCCTAACGATTTAGGAGTCAAGCTCAATGATGTCATAATAGAAAAGAAGAGATTTGACTCACTCTCACCCTTACAAAAATATCACATCAATCAAATCGTGTGTGACTCAATGTTTTAGATTGTAATTTGTACAAGACATTTGGGGATCTGACCTCCCACCTCAGTCTAAGGGTTGGGTCCCCTCTAATCACCTCAATCGCCTGGAATCAAGAGGTTAATTAGGTGTGGTTAAAGGTTAAGTTTTCTTTGATCGTCTCGAGGAGAAGAAGTAACAAGTCTGTAACGAATTGTGTTCTCTCAGAGGTTGTTATCGACGAGGTGTTGAGTTGTACTCTTAACGCCTTAAAATTGAATGTAGACAAGGCACTAGTACATGGCCTCACATCTCGAACATGAAGGTGGAAGAGGAAATACTGAAGTTGCTACTCATCTCAAAATGAAGTGCGTTCGTGGAATTTTGCTTAGCGATAACAACGTAGCTTGCCAGTAGGTAAAGGTGTAACATCTTTCACTCTATTGATCTTATGCTTTAGTTCTAGGGTAAATCATAAATATCGTTACTTAGTGTACATTTGGGCACGGTTTGCATTGGGTCAGTTTCAACTTCAACCCGAAACGAAAACCAAATTAGTTGGTTTGGGTGAATTTCACCCAAACCAACCCACTCTAACTCTTAAATCGAACCTACACAACCCAAATCAGTTTGGTTTGGTTTGATTAGTTGGTTCGGACTTTTAATTGAAATTGGATTTTTTTAAAAAAAAAGTTGTTTGGGTTTTGGGTCTACTTAGATTATAAGATCTATTGAGTAATAAATAAAATTAGGTTAATAGAGACAAATCAATAAAAAATTTAAGAATTTTGTGGTTTTTTATGCATTATGTAGCCTGAGTACCTAAGGAGAGAAAAAAACTTAAGCATAATATAATGAGCTTGTGAAAGAGATTTTCAGTGCTATCACTTACTAACATCTTAGATTGGAGGGAATCGAAATATAGTCATGAGATTAGGTTTATCTTTTGATTATTATTATTATTTTTTAAATAAAAGTAAAAATGGAAGTGGGTTATGTTAGTTCGGTTAACTAATGGCTTGAGGTTTCAAACCATGGCTTAGGTTAGTTCAGTTAACTAACGGTTCGAGGTTTCAAATCATGATTGAACCTACCTGCTATGGTTTTGTAAAAGAAAAAAGAAAAATCAAACCAATTACATGTGTCAAACTCATCCAACCGGTCGAGTTGGATTGATTTGATTGGTTTGATCGATTTTCGATTTTTTTTTCTTTTGCTCAAGCCTAATTTAGTGAGTGTCAAATTTTTATAACGTGTGTTCAAAACGTCGAGAAAAAAAAAATGAAGAAATATCTAGAGCCTGTCTGGCCCAGATTATT